TGGAGTGTTGGAAGTCAGGACTCAAAGATAATGTGCAAATAGAGTGGTGTTCAATGTAATGTGTTCGTTTTTAATTGACTCAGAGTGTAAATTTGCACAGTACAATCTTCCTTGCCTGCCTTAGTCTTCTCAATGTATATTTAACTTGTACTGTTGTTCAATAGATATCACAATATATGTTGATTATTGAACATTGAAACACCATTAGAAAGCTGAAAGCGCTAGATAGCTGTTTCATCCTCCTATGAGACTCATCAACAATGCACACATACACGATCATCATCACCATCTCGGTGAATTGAATACACTATCTTCAGTCTCATGCTTTGATAGGATATTCAATATCCAATATCCTAAGAGAATTATTGATCAATTCCTATTCGGTTAATTTCTATTGGTCAATTTTATGGTCGTCCTAGATATGAATGTCACTTGCTCCAATGTTGTTTCTTATTGATCATCCTGACTATCAATATCACTTCAAATGTTACTTTCTATTGGTCGTCTTCACTATCAATGTCACAGACCTCAATGTTGTTTCCTATTCGACTAACTGTATAAATACGCACTATCTGTAAGGTTTTATGGACCGGACCTAGATCCCTAGTCCGGAATCCTGATTCTCTTCTGGACTCGGACATTGTACTTTCTGCATGTTTGTAGAATACAGGTTCTACTTCACATCAAGTCTTCTTCTTTTTGGATAAGCGGATTAGAGTACCCTGTCGTATCGCCGGCTCCTCGATCCTCGCTCTCATTTAAAGACTAAGGTAAACTCATAATAGTTCAAGTATATCAAGTTGACATTGTTTACATTCATGCGTAACATGCTTGAATGCTCAACCTTTTAATCCACTGATTCGTCATCTAACGGTATTGCCTGTCCGTCATCCATTGTCTTCTCTTAGCGGATAACTGCCTCTCTCTCACTCTCTCTCTCTGTCTCTCGACACACACACACACACACACACACACACACTAGAACTCCACTAATCACAATTTCACACTAAAAATAAACTCCAAAGAATTTCTTCACATAGCTAATCTTCACTCATGAGCACATGATTTAGGATTGTAAAGGCAAACATTTTCAACATGAGCAAAAAAACCAAAGGCGAAATGAAATATTCATCAATTTGTCTGTTTTTATTTTTCATGAAAAATCAATTTACAAATAATGATATTTATTAATTATTAATAATTTTCTCATAAACATTGAAAATTTGAATCAGAAAATGAAAAAAAAAACTGAAATTCCACTGTTTAAAATAATAAAAAGGAGTAAAAACATGAGAAATGATTACTATTTAGAGTTTTTCCATTAATAATCACAAATGAATCATTCGTTGTTAGACTACCAAACATTTAGAAACTTGAAAGCAATGGACAGCATTTGTTTCGTCTTGGTTCAAGACTATTCACTAGTGACAGTGTAGTGAAGGAGAACACAGGTGAGGGCAACCGGATTGTATTTAACGGAAATTACAGAGTTACTCAGTAAAATCGGAAAACCATATCGTAAACGGTTCATTTGCAAATCTTCAATCCATCATCAATCCATTGTCTGACATTTCACTTATTCATGCGTTTCATACAAATTCCATTGTGTTCCCACTCTTCTTCCTTTCACTTGATCTTCCTCCATCTTCTGCTGCCAGACATTACGTTGACACTCATGTCATATACTACTTATAAGTAGTGCGCACCACAACAGTACGCATCCATGACTCACAGAATTCGAACTGAGGTTCTTCGGTTTTGCAATCGGATGCCTAACCTCTGGACTACTGAGCCTGTATCCGACAGTGTTAATGTCTACGTCTGATCTATCTAGGGATTTTGCGCGACCTCACCGAATTCGTCCTCAGTAGTTACTCTCTCTCATTTGAAACGGTTAAATTCCACTAGTCATAGCTTCTGTCGAGAACTTCAAGAATTTCTTAATGAAGCTAGTCACTCGTGATTACATTTTCATTATAGAATTATGGAGATTGTAACTTTTTTTTTTGAAATCAAGAATTTCGGCTAGACAATAACACCTTCGGATGCCAGTACAGTCGTTTAGATGTTAAGCGCTCATGAGAGAGATCGTAAGCTCTGGGTTTGATTCTCGGGAGCAGGATTCGTGGATACTCACTGTCACTGACGAAGCCCATTAATATCATTAGATAACGGCCATGCAGTGGTCTAGAGGTTAGGCGTTTGCGAGCAACACCGAAGGTCCTGGTTTAGAGCTCGGCGAGAAGTCGTGGATGCGCATTGTCACTGATGATTAGTCCAATACCAGAAGGAAACAGCCATCCAGTGATTCCAGGTTTCTAATGGTGGCCTGACAATGAATGATTCATGATTTCAACAGAATACAACAATCTCCATCACTCTAAAGTGAATATTATTTCTATTATTGAGGTAAAATTTCACCTACTATGCATTTGACTAATACAATTTCTGGTAATTATTCTGGTACTGTGATTACAACTTAACAACTTACTGTGAATCCTTCCAACCCTTTTCTAGTTAACAAATAACATTATCTTGAGGTAATTATACTGTGATAGTTGCAAACTCTCATCATTTTTCTAACATATAACATCGAAATTATGAATCGATCAATGTTAGACCACCATCATTAGACGCCTAGGAGCACTAGATGGTCGCTTCGTCTTGGTTCGAGACTAATCATCAGTAGAGATGAGCATCCACGAATCATGCAACGCGCAGGATTCGAACCCACGACGTTCGATCTTGTCAAATTCATTTAATGTGTATGCCTATTTTTGACCTTTATAAAATAACACAACCCTGATAATGGCCTTTTTAGTCAGTCAGTCAGTCAATTACAACGTAGAACTTCGTACACGGGTACATAAGTTCAGGTTGCCATACCACATCAGCACAGAGAAGCAACGGCCAGTTCAAATCCCATAGTGCTAGAGATAGTAGAATTATGATCTTGAATCGTTTGCATCAGCGGTGCAGGGATGTGAGAACAGTTAGTCGTGGAGATAAGGAAGATGTTAGGATGTGTAGAAAGGATTTTTTGTGACCGATTCGGTCTCATGTGCTGTTACGAGGTGTATGAAGGAGGATATCACTTCATAGTTGCCCACACCGTGGCTTACGGTGTTTCTTGAGGAACCATGGAAAGGAAGATAGATTAGTGTTGGTCTGAACGACCTGCGAGCGTGACCGCGGAGCCCAAGAGACAACTGCTTGAGGCCGGTCACGCACGGTCTATGAGGTAAGGTGAGGTGTGAAAATGTTAGGGTTGACCTTTTCAAACCCCTTCCTTCCTTGTGAGAAGGCAGCATCGCTACAGATGCTGGTTTAGTCGAGGGAAACACCTTGCTGCTGTCACACACACTTTTATAACTGTAAAGTCTGATGACGAAGTAAGTCACAACAATTGTTCACTCGAATAATATCATGTGTACTGACTGTGACAGTCTTGCATTGTCTCACTGAGATGTGTCAGAATAAAGATAACTCATGTAATCGATCGAATAATCGTGAAAAGTATTTTTATACAGATGACCTTCAGTGACCTATTAGCCAATCATGAAACACTCACTAGTGATAGACCAATCAACAACTGAAAGCCATGAAATATCTGGTCTGATGAATCATCAACCCTCACCCTTGTAGGTGGAAGGAGTCAAGCTAAGTTTTTACGTATTAAAAGTTGTGTTACTGCTCTAACTTAAGGGTATCAGTCCACAGAGCTTTCGTCATCAACTGAAAACCGCTATAATGCGGAAAGGTTAAAGGTAGGGGCTATGAAAAGTTAAACTGAAGTTTGGAGTTTGATTTTTTCAAATTATATAGTTCGGGTTTTCATCAGCTGAGATACAATCCTATGTCAGTCATCTTTCTGTTTACTAAACTCACAGACTTTTAGTTGAGATTTAGAGGAGTAAGAGTTCGAAAGGAAAGAAGGATATTATCTAACTCCATCTCAAGTCAATCACCAATCAACAAACACATCCAGATTGACCCAATTTATCAACCAATCAGAAAAATCAAAGGATCACGAAACAGATCAAAGCAAAGGGGATACAATCAAAACAACAAAGATGCAAACAATGACAGATTTAAGGTCATTAACAACCACAATCAAGATCGAGGTTAGCGGAACAAACATGAAGAAATTTGAATACTTCACTTCTGATGATGTTGTTGTGCTCAGAAGAAGAAGACGAACACTGAAAGCTTCACAACCAAAAAAACATCATCCAGTTCAGAGAATGAAAGAAACATCACCACAAACATTTTTTTTCACAACGCAATTGAATCATAGACATTTTCCGATACGATTTGTCTTAGGAGCAGTTTGATTTTTTAAGTTAATTAGTTTAAGCATCATCTCAAAATTCATTTTAAGGTTTCATTATGATAATTCTTACTTAATTCATCACAACATACAAATTATCTACTGGTACACTTTGAATTTGGCACACAAAAAATATATGGGATGTTTACCTTGATTCTGATTGGTTCACTGATATGCTCGTCAATTGATATGCTTGTATGCGATTACGAGTTCACTTTTTACTCGGTAAACGAGAACGAAGACAAATGATTCAGTGACACACGATAGGCTATTCTAATGCGTTTGTCCTCAGCCCGGCTAACTAGGATCAAGAAGAATTGATAAGGCATAGAAAGAATGTATTCCACAAACATCCAGGAAATACCAGGTTGACAAGCACACAAATCGAGTTTATTTATACAATGATAGAAACGTCCTTGAGAGAGCCATAAAAATAGCATACTAAAATACTACATCAACCAATGACAGTCAAGGTGTTTCTGAGTGTGAAATATAATCTCAAGGTCAACTGTGCGACTTATGGGCGAAAACACATAAAAAACTCCAAAATTAGGGATCTAACGTCCCTAACATCTTTTCAAGGTACATTATACTTTTATCGACAGGATCTTATCACGTCTATTTAATAAATGATGATTTTTTTTATATATTTTGTCTCTCTCCTTTAAAGATTCATCGAATCCGCCATTACTATTAACGAATCATTCAAATTCAATTTCCCTCACATCATCATCATCGTCATCAATTAAAACAAATAATCCTGTCCTGATCAATGAACATGAATCACCATCATCCTCATCCTCAACCTCATCAACATCAACATCATCATCAACAACAACATTATTTTATCATGAACATAAAAAATTCAATCAAAAGTTATTAATGAAAAAATCCCGTAAAGCCAGAACAGCATTTACTGATTATCAGCTAACTGAATTAGAACAAAGTTTTGATTGTCAAAAATATTTACCAGTACAAGATCGTATAGAATTAGCAAAAAAATTGAATTTATCTGATCGACAAGTGAAAACATGGTATCAAAATAGAAGGTAAACATAGTAAAAAAAAAAATAATCGATAAATGATTTACAGTTGTTTTTTTTTTGAGAAAAAAATGTACATTTCAACACATAATTATTGCACATTTTTGAAACTATGAACCGACGAATGTTAGATCACCATTAGAAACCTGGGAGCACTGGATGGCTGTTTCGTCCTGGTATAGGACTCCTCAGCAGTGCGTATCCACGACTCCAGCACCCCGCAGGTTTCAAACGCGGGACCTTCGGTATTGTGCGCGAACGACCTAACCGATAGACCACTGAGCCGGTATCTATCGGTGTTAATGTCTAACTTGATCAAATTCATAATTATTGGTAGAAAAAGGGCGTTTATTAAATGTGCTTTGCTATGGGCCATTAGTTAAGAGGTATTATTGACTTAGAGAGGTTTATTGAATGATATAGTTAGTGATTGACAGTCGATTTTATATATATATCATATATTCCCTTTAGGATTGTAGAGTCTATGTGTACCGGTGATTTGGAATTAGGGTTTTGCAACTCTTCTTACTGGATCAATAAATTCTATCTATTTTTTTCCGATAACTCGACTCATAAAATTTGAGATGGTGGAGAAAATTTGCCACTTAGGTGGATGATGATTGTGGTAGTGGTGGTGTTTCGTTCACTGAGCTGGATGATATTTTGGTTGTGAAGCTTTCATTATTGTTCTTCTGAACAACAATATCATCAGCAAAGATTTCGGATAGAAGTGAGGTAATTAATTTTTACAGATTTGTGTCGTTGTTGAGGATCAAGGAAAGAGTTTCTTTAGCTAAGCTTGTCACTATTGAGATAAATAAGGCTGTCACGTCGAAGAATATCATTGTTTCGTCGTTGTCGATTTGAATCCCTTTGAGTTTATCCAAGAATTCTGTCGGAGACGTAATAAAGCAGTTGGATTCATCCACCAAATGTTTACCTTGATAAGTTGTAGGTCGGGATTCCACGGAGGGATACCATAGGGCGTAGTGAAATGTTGGGTTTGTGGAGTTTCGGCCTGCTGTAGAATCATGGGATTACTGGTGCATTGGGCTTCATCCCCTATTGATCTTGTTTTGATATTTTTCCTGCTTTGATAAGCTTGTTTAAAGGCCTTGAGATTTGATTGTCCAACTTTTTTTATTGGGTCGATTGTGTCAATTGGTTTGTATAAGCTTCTGTCCTGAAGTTGTTCCTCAGCTAACTTGATATATTCTTCCTTGTCTATAATTACTGTGGTGAATCCTCATATATTAAAAATACTATATATCAGCAGGGAGATGTAAGTCGTTCCAATTAGTTTCTGATCACTTGACAGTAATATCTAGTCATTCACTTATAATGGCATCGAGTCGAGATTGACTACGATCACCACTACATACTAATGACGAGCCGGTCATAGAGAAGATAAATAAACCCATGTGAGTGAATACATTGGCTGGAGTTTTCCTTGCTATTGAAAGAATACCGAAATCGTGCCAGAAAAGAGGGGCGAAATGACAGTGGAGCCAAAATGGCGGCAACACAAACAGAAAATTTGCGCGTATAGAAGTAGTAATAAAAACAAAGAGGTTCAATAAACCAATCACTTGTACTTACTTACTTTATTTTCGCCTGTTACCCCCTAAATGGAGCATAGGCCGCCGACCAGTTTTCTCCAACCAATCGGTTATAATCATGAATGTTTGCATAAAACCAACCAATTGATTTGAATGTTTTGGTTGTGGAATTTTCACTATTTTTCTGAACAATAACATTATCAGCACAAAATTCGGGTTGAAAGAGTGAAGTATTTGATTTTCTCCAGTTATGACTCATAGCTTATCCTGTTCAACCTTGATCTTGATTCGCTGTTTATTAACCTTCAACCAATCGTTGTTTGCCAGTTTATTTTTGATTGCATCCCTAATCGATCAATCAAAATGAAGATGTAGACAACGACAGATTGATGATCAATAACAACGAATCAAGATCAAGGTCGAACAGGATAAGCTATGAGTCATAACTGGAGAAAATCAAATAATTCACTCTTTCTACACGAAGTTTGTGTTAATGATGTTATTTGCATATTAAAATCATCAATCAATCATTGTTAGATCACCATGAGTAACTTGCATGCATCGGATGACCGTTTCGTCTTGGCATGGAACTCATCAGTGGTAGTGAGCATCCAGGACTCCTGCACCTCGCAGGATTCAAACCCAGGAGCTTCGGCCTTGAGCGCAAACGCCTAACCTCTGGACAACTGAACCGGCAACCAATGGTGTCTAACTCTGATCAATCTACAGATTTTGCGCAACCGAATTGTGGATGCGCACTGCTGATGAGTAGTCTCATACCAGGATGAAACGGCAATCCACTGCTTCCAGCTTTCTCATACTGGTAGTCTAACAATCTGCACAAAATACTAATCTCCATAACGAAATCTCCACAACCAAAACATCCAGCTCACAGAGTAGGGAACTAACTCTACCATAATCTTTCATTTTTTTTACTGTTTCATTAAACATGATCGTGGTTTACTTTTCACTTACTATTATTATCATTCTTGTTAATGAATAGAACCAAATGGAAACGTCAAACAGCTATCGGTATGGAATTAATGACAGAAGCAGAAAATTTCTTCACTATTCAACGTTTCATTGAACAAAATCCACTGTGGTCATATCATCCAACTATTAAACATATTTTATCTAATATGTTAATTACATCCTCTGGTGTAAGTACACTGACGACATCAACAACGCTAACAACGCTAACAACGCCGACAACAAATAGAATATCATTACATAATGAAGAGAATAATTTATCGATCTTTCGCAATTCCTTATCCTCATCGTCATCAGCGTCACCATCAACATCATTATCGACAGGAATGACGCGAACAGCAACAACAACATCAGTGACAGAATCCAGTACATCAGTAACAATGGCACCGACTACGACGACAACAAGCACAATAACGACAAGTTTACATGTCAGTCATCATCATGATTCACAGCCACAACCACAATCAAATCATCATTATTACAAACAACCAATTCAATGTTCAACATTTGCAACTAATCATTGTAGACTTGTAAATTCATTACCGATTAAAACAAATGCATTATTGATAGAAAATACTGATCATCCCCATCATCCTCATCCTCATCCTCAGCAGACAAAACCATTCATATTTATTACTTCATTAAATGATAATACTTATTGTCATAATAATAATAATAATTCGTTATTATCTACCACCAGATCGATTTTATTCGAACCAAATGAAATGAAAAAGAAATTCATTGATTCATTGAACATTACTCATTCAATGTCCAATTATGAATTGTGTTCAACAACAGCGCCATGTTTATTAAATCAATCCTCCATAATAAGTGGTGGTAGTGGAGGTGGTGGTAATCCATGTACAACACATCATCCTATTACGTCATCATCATCATCATCATCTTTATCGTCATCATCATCAGTTTCGGGTATATTGAATTCACTCATTGAAGGAACTTGAATAATAAGAGTTGACAAATGAACTTTTATTATAGATGAATGTTTTTTAAACACTGACAAAAAAATCTGTTAAGATCTCTTCTCTTATTTCATGCATTGTTCATTAATTCATTGTTGAGGAGAAAAGTGTGTGTTTTTTCAGAAGATTGAGAAAGTTTTCAATGTGAATGTTGTCTAATTTTTAATAATAATAATAATAATAATAATAATAATGTTACTTACTTACTTATTTACGCCTGTTACCCCCAATGGAGCATAGGCCGCCCATCAGTTTTCGCCAATCATCTCTGTCCTGGGCTTCCCTTTCCAATTCTGTCCAATGTTTGTTCATTCTTCTCATGTCATTCTCTATTTCTCGGCATAATGTGTTCTTCGGCCTTCCTCTTTCCCTTTGACCGTGAGGGTTCTGTGTGAGGACTTGTCTTGTGACGCAGTTAGGTACTTTTCGTAGTGTGTGTGTCTTATCCACTTCCACCGCTTCTTCCTGATTTCCTCCTCCACTCGAATCTGATTTGTTTTCTCCAACAGTACGTTGTTGCTGATGGTGTGTAGTCAACGAATACGAAGTATTTTGCGTAGACAACTGTTAATAAACACTTGTATCTTCTGGACGATGGTCTTCGTAGTTCTCCAAGTTTCATCCTATTCGAGACTAGCCTTTAGCGAGATATACTTGCATCCCACTGATTTGATGTTCATTCCGGGACTCCAACTCACTATCGTTTACTTTAAACACGATTGTATTATTCACTTGGTTACTGATTCTATATAACCATTGGTTTGTACAATGAGATGAAGTTTAATTCATTTGTATTTGAGAGGATACTAGTCGGCGGAAGTCCGCCAGGCGGAGTTCGATATATTCTTCCAATCTCTATCACTGTTTTCCTAATTTTTTCCTCAATTACAAGTTATTTTGTTCTCTCTCCGTCAGTAGGTTATTTGGTCAACGAATCCACAATATTTTGCGTACACAACTGTTCATAAATACTTGTATCTTATAGATGATGGCTTTGGTAGTTTTCCAAGTTTCCACTTCATACAGTAGAATTATTGTCTTGATATTTATAATGAAAATTGTAACCTGGTTGGTAGTTGATATTCGTTTTGAATGCCAAATGTTCTTCAGTAGTAGAAATGCTACCCTTGCTTTGCTGTGTGGGGTCCATTTATCTGCGTATTCGGTTAGCACCTGACGGTTTATAAATCAGAAGGCGAATTCGAAGTATGATGAAATACGTTTATATTTTGGACACACCACATAGAGAAGTTGAAAAGCAGTGAAAGAATAAGCGAAGGAAGCGGATGAACGGGTGAAGCGCGTTGGGGAACGCTAATGAGTCAACTCCAAGAGATAGAGCATGACTAAGAATATATAGTCAGACCAAAAATAAGACAGACATGTGATCAACGAGATAGCCATGCACACACGTAAATAAAAGCGACGAATAGTTGACAAGGTCAAATGACAAGTGGGACGCGCATGTGAGCTCATACAAACCAGACAATAATAAGAACGAATGGTACATATAAATTGTCACAATACAAATGACTTGGTTAAATAAATTATTAATCGAAAGGGCTTTACCAAATTAAATGTAAGCGAACTGGAAAATTATATGTGAAGGCACTACAGCTGATTCACACCTTCACATCTGCATCCAATCCACTTTACTCATCAATAATCCTGCCCAGATATACAAAATGTTTCTACATCCTCTAAAGCTACTCTTTCAAGTATGAATTTAGTTAGTGCATATTGTACTGTATCGTCGTTTCTTACATTTTTCCCTTGTAATATAATATATTGAGACCTACTAATATATATACACTAATCGTTTTCTTGTACATTTTTAAATCCGTAAAAATCCTCTTTTTGTTTTGTTGATTGATAAAACAACTAACTAAAAAGAATAATACAAAGAAAATTCTCTAAGGATTATTTTTATTGAATTTTGAACATTTATTTCGCATTATTGGTTAAATTGTGTTCAATCGACATTGAACAAATTGTTTTCTCAGTTATTTATTCAATCTATTTACATAAAAATGATTGACAAATTAATCTCAACGACAAATTTTTCTAAAAAAATGAATTCCCACAAGTGTAGTAATTAATTAATTAATTAATTAAAACAATAACGGCAACACTCTCATCATTAGATTACGTTTTTTTAATTGTTCAATGTTCAATAAACTTCTCTGTTGAAGAACACATAAAACACATTGTGATTGTATATTTGTAAGGAATTATTTAAAAAAGGAACGAGGTAAATGAAGTGTGAGAATACTGTTAAATAGTTTTTAAAAACTTTCGTTTATTCGTTTTGTTTTAAATAATTAAAAATTATAATTGAAGAATTAACAACAGTTATGATGATGATGTGATTTAAAATGTCAATCATTAGGTGTTGTGTTGGTATTTTTTTTCCCCAAAGCTCAGTAGTATTCAATGAATTCTGTATATTATTGATTTTCAAATGAAATTGAACATTAGTGGTACTTACTTACTTAGTTACTTACTTATGCCTGTTACACAGCCCAATCGAGCATAGGCCGCCCACCAGTTTTCTCCAACCAACTCTGTCCTGGGCTTCCCTCTCCAGTTCTGTCCAGTGTTTGTCCATTCTTCTTAAATCTTTCGCTATTTCTCGGCCTGTAATGTGTTCTTTGGCCTTCCTCTTTTCCTTTGACCTTGAGGGTTCCATGTGAGTGCTTGTCTCGTGACGCAGTCACGTGCTTTCTGCAGTGTGTGTCTTATCCACTTCCACCGCTTCTTCCTGATTTCTTCCTCAGCTGTGATCTTGTTAGCTCTCTCCCACAGTAGGTTGTTGCTGATGGTGTCTGGCCATCCGATCCCAAGTATTGTGCGTAGAAAACTGTTATTAAATATTTGTATCTTCTGGATGATGGCTTTCGTAGTTCTCCAGGTTTCCACTTCATACAGTAGATCTGTCTTGACATTTGTATTGAAAATCCTGATTTTGGTGTTGATTGATATTTGTTTGGAGTTCCAGCTATTTTTCGATTGTAGAAATGCAGCCCTTACTTTGCCAATCCGTGCCCTCACATCTGCATCGGATCCACCTTGGTTGTTGATGATGCGGCGCAGATATCTAAAGGTGTTAACATCCTGAAAGGCATCTTCATCAAGAGTGATTTGGTCGGTGCATGTTGTGTTGCATCGGAGAAATTTACTTTTTCCTTTATGTATGTTGAGACCTACTGCTGCAGAGGCTGCTGCTACACTGGTTGTCTTCTCTTGCTATTGTTGTTGCGTGTGAGACAGTATTGGCAGGTCATCTGCGAAGCCCAGATCGTCCAGCAACAGTAATGGTGTTTGAAAAAAATGTTTTACACATTGATAAGTTTGTTAAAATGTATGAGAGATTATAATTTTCTAGGCCTGATTCTAAATTGAACAAAAGAGAAAAGTCGTGAGTTGAACGGGTTGAACTCTTTACTCAAAAAATGAGGGCATATGATGGAATTACTCATGACCTTGAAAATGTGCAAAGGTTCGGGAATCATACTACTTAAAATAGTAGCCTTTATGTTTTTAAAATAACCAATCAAAATCGTTTTATTTGGTGGGAGTAAAAACAGTCATTACTGTTTAAATCTATCAAAGCATCTAACTACGCAATTGTGTTACATATGAAATCAAAGATAATTCAAGACGGCAATATGTTTGAAGAACATTCCTGAACTCGTGCAGTGCTTTTGAGGCTAATAACCAAACAGTGACTAAAAGTGTGGTGGAGAAATTCGAATACTTCAATTCCGTCTGAAGTTTTTGTTGATGATGTTGTGTTCTAATGACGTTATGTAGCAGCTATATGAAATCCCGCCGATGTCCAAGTTCAGATATTCCAGTACGACCCCAATTACTGTTCACAAATCTGCAATATTTATCAGAATACAACACCGTCAGATGAAGTTGTTTCTGGGGTTGAATACAGAAGAGATGAAGGAAGGAAGGAATGGAATGGGATAGCTTTACAGATAATGCATATTTATACAATTAGGTTGAATAAGAAACAACATTGAGGTATGTGACATTGATAGTTAAGACGACCATAATATTGACCAGTAGGAATTGACCAATATAATTAGACTTTCAAAAATAGTTCTCTTACAGGATATTTGATGAGAATATCCTTACATGTTGTTCAAAATAACAGTGAAATCTCAGAGAACGAAATTCCACCACAATCATCCATTCACCTGAGGAGATACAAAAATTTTCTCAACCATCTCAAAAGTAAATTAGAGTAAAAGAATATAGAACTTGTTGCATTCAAACAAGAAAACCTATAATACAAGGAATAACAGTTTCAATATTTTAAAGAACTTAATAACAATAATAATAATAATATGACATTGATAACAGAATAAACACTATTGGTTTATGCAAATATATTGGTATGTCATATAATTAGCATTAGATTACGCACTTGAAAATGAATACATATAAAACTGTTTACTGAATAAATAAATAAGTAGTATAAATCAATACTCAAAAAAAGCAAAGTTGAACGAGAGAGAATAAGGATAAAAGGATTTGGCTCAAGAGTTTTAACTGCATCTTCATGTTTATTATTGAAAAATGGTTTATTCATTATTTTATTTTATTAGTGCTTCATTCAATAAGTTTTTTTCACAGACAAAGAATGCTTTTTTGACCCTGCTATTCAACTATTAACTTTTTGAACTGTTGACAAAATTTATTGCATAATGGGGTTGTGAAGATTGTTATGTTACACTGTTGGAATCATGAATCGACCAATGTTAGTAGACCACGATCATTAGAAACCTGGAAGCACTGTTTAAACGGCCGTTTCGTCCTCGTATTGGACTCATCGGTAGTGCGCAACCTGCTCAAGTGTAGACAGTAACTACTACCGAAGACAGTGTATGAGGTTGCGCATGACCGTGAACTGAACGAAGTTATACGTTAACACCGTTAGATACCGGGTCAGTGGTTCAGAGGTTAGGCGT